AAGAGGCCCGACGGGGGCCACAAGACGGTTTCAAGTGCTCTCGGAGCCCCCTCGGGACCTCCCCCCGAGGCCAAATTCCTGCAAAATCCGACAGGAGAATCAATAAGCTGTGCCTTCTCGCCTTTTCGTTTCCGATGCGCGCTGAGGCCTCAAGATTGCCCCAAGATGGCCCAAGCGAGCCCCAAGAGGAGCCCAAGAGGCCCCCAAAACGGCCCCACGAGCGCCCAAGATCGGCCCAAGGGCGTCCCAAGAGCGCCCCAAGGGGCGAGTTTGATGGCCCCAGGGAGGGGAGGCAAATTTGAGCCCCATGGCCTCCAAGATGGCCCAAGAGGTCCTCCGGGGCACCCAAGGAGGCTCCAAGAGGGTCCCAAGAGGGCCCCAAGACCCCCAAAAAAAGCTCCAAGAGAACCCCAAAATCCCCCAAAAGAGTCCCAGGAGGGCTCCAAGAGGCGACTTTGAAGGCTCTGTCCTCCTCCTCCTCCTCCTCCTCCTCCTCCTCCTCCTCCTCCTCCTCCTCCTCCTCCTCCTCCTCCTCCTCCTCCTCCTCCTCGTCCTCGACGAGGACGAGGACGAGGACGAGGACTCCTCGTCCTCGTCCTTGCTCCATCGTTTCCCTTGTCCTCTTCTTTCTCTTCCTCGTCGTCGTGGTCGTCGTCGGTGTATTCCCCCTCCACTCCTCCTCCTCTCCTCCTCCCCCCTCTCCTCCTCCCTCCTCCCTCCCTCCCTCCCTCCCTCCTCCATCCCTCCCTCCATCCCTCCCTCCCGACCTCCCTCCCTCCCTCCCTCCCTTCCCTCCATCCCTCCCTCCCTCACTCCCTCCCTCCCTCCCTCCCTCCCTTCCATCCTCCCTCCCTCCCTCCCTCCCTCCCGCCCTCCCCTCCCTCCCTCCCTCTCCCTCCCTCCCTTTTTCCCCTAACCCTCACCCCACACCCTCCGCCCTCCCTCCCTCCCTCCCTCCCCTCCCTCCCTCTCCCCCCCCCTCCTCCTCCTCCTCCTCTCCTCCTCTTCATCACTTCCTCCTCATCCTCTCCTTCCTCCTCCTCCTATACATAATCATCATCATCATCATCATCATCATCATCATCATCATCATCGTCAATCAATAATCATCCAGCATCATCTCATCAGGCATCGTCAGCATTGTTCAGCATCGTAATCATCAGCATAATCATCATCAATCTCTCTCATCTCAGCATCATTTCATCATCATCAGCATCATCATCATCATCATCATCATCATCATCATTCATTCATCATACACTCAAATCTCATCATCATCATCATCGTCATCTCAATCGATATCATCAGCATCAGCATCATCAGCATCATCATCATCATCAGCATCATCAGCAGCACAGCAGCATCAATCATCATCATCATCATCATCATCATCATCATCATCATCATCATCATCATCATCATCATCATCATCATCATCATCATCATCATCATCATCATCATCATCATCATCATCATCATCATCATCATCATCATCATCATCATCATCATCATCCGCCCCCTCCTCCTCCTCCTCCTCCCTTCGCCCCCACGCGGGCCTCAGGGATGGCCCGAAGAGGCCTCCAAGGCCACCCCGCTGCTCCCAGAGATGTCTCTGTTCACGCTGGTTGCCCGCTTTCTTTTACCACATGTGTCTCTTCGTCCCTTTTCCCATATGCTCTCATAGGCAGGGTTTCTGAATGGGCTGGTGGGGATACGCGAAGCGGAAAAAAATCCCTTGGGTTGTTCAAGGTAGTTGGCCTCTAGGCTCAAGGGGATCTCGGGGAAACCGCTTGGGAGCCTCTTGAGGCCTCCTGGGGCTGTTTCGGACGCGCCTGGGGGGCCTCTTGGGGGCCTCTGCAACCATCCTGGGGACATCTGGACCGAGCGGCGGCGTCGAGAGCCGTCTAGTCGCTGTCTTGGCGAGATCTAGGGGGGCCTGGGGCCCCAGAACTCCCATTTTCAGCGACTCCGAAGGGTGAGGTTTGCGACCGGCACCCTGCGGGGCACCCTGGGGAGCGGGCGGGGACCTCGATAGAGGTCTCCGCCGTGCCCCGAGAAGGCCCGACGAGGACAGCGTCGTGATCTCCAAGCCCCAACGGCGCCGATCGCAAACCACACCCCGACGTAACCACACCCTGTGTAGTCGCCGAAGTTTGCTGTCCAGGTTCTGGCCCAGGAGCCCCTGGGCCCAGCACCCCGTTACACATGTATACTCGCGTGCGAGACGGGAGGCCAGCCTTGGCGCATCGTCGTGTCAGCCGGGCTCCCGACCCCCCGCTCGACTGAATTCTTTATCCGCCACAAACATATATGTATACACACAGACAACCTCGAAAGGATTGTGCCTCAACCTCAGGGAGGGAGGCGGGTAAAAATCACCATTGAGAGCCAGCGACTTTATACACCGCCCCCCCCCTGGAGGTACATGCAAAGTTAGTCGGAGGGTGTATGTGTACATGTTCCCGTGGCGGATATCACCCTCGGATGCGAGGGGGGGCTCCTGCTGATCCAGTTCAGGAGCTTGCGGAAGCCCCAGCCTCTTGCGGTGCGCCGGCCCACGATGGCGGGGCGCAACGGGCACGCGGATGCGCTCACTGGCATTGCAGGCACGGCGTCGTGCTGTGCTGCTAGCTACTGTGACGATGCACCATGCCAAGGAAACCGTCATCGTGATTGCCATCACCGCCAGCAGCTGCGACGACTGACGCAACGACGGTCACACGTCGCGGTCGTCTGCGAAGCCATCGCCGCGATAGCCGCCGGCCAGATGCCCAGGTATTGCGGATCTCGAGCTCCATCCTCGCAGCCACCACCGCCACTCGTGCCGAGAGTGCTGCCACAATCGACCCTCGGGAAAATGCTCGTGTCACTGTCGACGCCACTGCCTGGCATGAGGAAAAGAAGCCCTGAGCGAATCGGGTCCCCGGCCCTGGGGTTTTGCCGCAAATCAATTGTCTCCCCAAGCAATGTTTCTGGCTCGGGTTCCCGCACCTGTCTTGTGGAGAACTGGGTAGGGTGTCCTGCAAACTTTGGGACGCCATAGGTTGCACAACAGGTTGCACAAGAGGTTGTACAATAGGTTGCGTCAATAGGATCCCATGGTGTCGAGGGAATGTGTGGATGCCACAGGCTGCACAATAGATCGCACCACGCAGTGCGCCCATGGGGCTCGAGGGCGCCCAGGGAACCTGAGGGTGCTGCAGAGTGCGCCGAAGTTTCCGCCACGCGCTGCGCCCACTGAGTTCCATGGTGCCGCAGGTGGCGCCACAGGCTGCGCCAGGGTCCGCGTCATGGGTGGAGCCATGGGCTGAACCGCGGGTTGCGCCACAGGCTGCGCCATAGGTTGCTCTGCATTGCCCTGCGGCACCGTGCTCTTCTCTGAACCCGTCTGAAATTGTTCGCACGGCTTTGCACTGCGTCGCGGTTCCTCGCACGTCGTTGCGCTGCATTGCTTCGTCTAGATTTGCGCTGCGTTGGCTTTCAGGCATCAACGCTAGTGTTGTAGCTGTTGCTGCTGCAACGCTTCCCTTACCCTCTCCACTAGACGAACCACCAGCATCAACTTTATCATCATCATCATCATCATCGTCATCAGCAGCATCAGCATCATCGCCGTCATCATCATCATCATCATCATCATCATCATCATCATCATCATCATCATCATCATCATCATCATCATCATCATCATCATGAGCATCATCATCATCAGCAGCATCAGCATCAGCATCAGCATCAGCATCAGCATCATCATCATCATCATCATCATCACCATCGTCATCGTCATCGTCATCGTCATCATCATCATCATTTTCATCATCATCATCATCGTCAGCATCGTCATCATCGTCATCATCAGCATCGCCATAATGTGCATCTTCATACTCATCGTCATCATCATTACCACCACCAGCATCATCATCAGCATGATCATAGTCATCATCATCATCATCATCATCATCATCATCATCATCATCATCATCATCATCGTCATCAGCATCATTATCATCAGAATCAGCATCATCATCATAAGCATCATCGTCCTCGTCGTCGTCGGCGGCGGCAGCAGCAGCGTCACCAGCATCATCATCATCATCATCATCATCATCATCATCAGCATCATCAGCAGCAGCATCATCGGTATCATCATCAGCATAATCATCAGCATCATCATCACATCAGAATCATCATCATCATCCTGAGCATCCCATCATCAGCATCACCATCATCGTCATCGTCATCGTCATCGTCATCGTCATCGTCATCCTCATCGTCATCGTCATCATCGTCATCATCGCCATCATCGTCATCATCACCATCATCAGCAGCCGCAGCATCAGCATCATCATCATCATCATCATCAGCAGCATCATCATCATTAAAATCAGCATCAGCATTGTCACCCCCATCATCACAATCACCCTCGTCAGCAACATCATCATCAGCATCATCATATCGACATCATCGTCATCATCATTACCTTGGCATGGCTACAATCGTAATTATAGTCGGCATACCCATAATCACCATCAGCAGCATCATCATCACCACCATCACCATCACCATCACCTTCGTCAGCATCAGCATCAGCATCATTCATCATAAGCATGATCATCATCAGCATCGTCAGCCTCAGCATCATCATCCTCAGCATCCTTATCAGCAGCACCATCATCATCATCATCATCAGCAGCAGCAGCATCAGCATCAGCATCAGCATCAGCATCATTACCCTTATCCTCATCCTCATCCTCATCCACATCGTCGCCATCGTTCACTTCATGCCGTTTCCACACTTCCTCACCCACCTCCTCCTGATCCTCGTCTTCCTTACCATCATCCGCATGCTCATCTTCATCCGTCCTCCTCCCCCGCATCACCACCACCGCCAGCATCATCATACCCCTCACACATCATCCGCCACCGTGCCTTCGACACCAAGTGGAGTGTCCTCAGGGCCCTTCGAGTGCTGTGCATCGCAAAACGGTTCTGTGTACTACTGACCTGCACGGAGCTCGCACTGCCACATCCTCCGTGGGATCCCCGCACGACTCCCGGGGCTCGCCGCAGGACTCTTCCGGGTGACCCGAGAGTGCCAGCCGGCCCAAGGAAGCTCCACGAGGGTCGCAGGGCTGTCAAGGGGCCCCGAGACCGCCCCAGGGGCGCCCCGGGACGGCCCCAGACGGTCTGAAGACGACCGAGGAGGTCGCCGAGCCGCCCCAGGAGGGCTCCACGAGGATCCCGAGAGAGCCCCCCGAAGATGCCGAGAGTGCTGGCTTCTTGAGGCGTTTGAAAGATGCCAGCGGTCTCGCCTTGTCGGGCTTCGACGCCCCAAGACGGCCCCCACAGGGGACCCAGGACGACCTAAGAGGCAGAAAGCCCCCAAGAGGGGCCCCTGAGGGGGGAAGCACACCGGCCTCGGGAGCCTTTCCCCCACAGATTGCCCGCACGACCCCCAACATGCCACCAAAATCCCCCAGAAGCGCCCAAGAGTCTTCAGGAGGTCCCAAGAGGCCCCCAAGAGGCCTCTGAAAGGCCCCCCTGATGCCCCACAGAGGCCCCAAAGGGCTCCTCGAGAGGCCTCCTCAAGAGGCCTCCAAGAGGCCCCGAGAGGCACCCCAAGAGACCCGAACAGGCATCCCAAAAACCTCTGGCCTACAACCCCGGCATGGTGGCGGGATAGGCCGAAGGCCACTAGATCCGCCGCCCCCTGCTTGCAGGGGTGCACGGCGTGCTGGACGTTTCAGGTTTTGGTTTTGGTTCTTTTTCTAAAAGAACTCCCGTGGGCTTCGGCCCGTCCCGCCGGCCACCCGCGAATTGCCCAAAACCCATCTCTGAATGCCCAAAAACGGCCGTTTCGCTCGGGACATCCTCAAAAAGTCGCGAGCCCAAGATGGCCTCCAAGTTCGCCCGAGATGGTCCAAGACGGCCTCCAAGACGGCCCAAGAGAGTCCAAGACGGCCCAAGACGGCCCAAGAGGCCCCCCAGAGGCCTCCCAGACGGCCCAAGAGGCCTCCAAGAGGTCCTCCAGGAGAGTCCGAAGAGGCCAAAATCATTGATTTTCCCTTGGTTTTTGAAGGATTTTGGCATTTGCGCCTTTTCGGCTCTCCGACGGCTCAAGACGGCCCAAGAAGCCCCCAAGATCGCCCAAGAGGCCCCCAAGAGAGCCCCATGATGGCCCAAGTGGCCTCCAAGATGGCCCCTAGAGGGCCCAAGAGGGCCCAAGAGGCCTCCAACACGCCCAAGATGGCCTCCCAGACGCCCAAGATGGCCTCCAAGACGGCCCTGGAGCATTCCAAGCGGGCCCCAAGTCGGCCCATAGAGGCCCCCCAAACGGCTTCCGACGGCTTCAGACGTGCCAGGAACCCACCAAGATGGCCGAAGTTGGCTCGAAGCTGGCCCGAGACGGCCCAAAAAGCCCCAAAGATCGCCCAAAGCTTGCCCAAGAGGCCTCCAAGACGGCCAAGATGACCTTCAAGATGCCCACGTGTTCCCCGAAGGCTTTCCAAACCGATTCGGGGAACACGTGGTCCGATAGCTTGGCAGGTCTGGCCTCAACGTTCGGCCACATAGGCGCTTCCAAAAAGGCAGGGGGCGGCGGTGATTCGCCGTAGGCGTCTTCGATCCACCGCCCCGTTTGCATGCCATGAGTTGTTGTTCTCCTTCAGAATTGAGGAACGAGTAAGCTGCATAAACATAAGTTCTCTGAGGTCCGCGCGGATTTCATGGATCGGCGCTGGACTCCCCTCCCTGGCTGGCGCGGAGCGCGCCAGGGGCGGCACGGGAGGCGCCGCCACGGGGACCCCAGCGCCGATCCAGAAAATCCGCGCGGAGATCCGAGAAGCACGGTCAACCAGTATAGTGAGGATGCGCGATGAGGATGCAAGGGCCTTGGACGCCCATTTCGAAGCTTTTCGAGCACAACGCGGCCAACGAAAGTGTCCAAGGATGAACCCGGGAGGCAAGGATGCAAGTGTACCCCTGGGAGGGATGCCCATCCTTACTATCATGATTGACTGTAATGTGTGCATGCGTTTTGGTTGTCATTCGAATTCCAGAAGCTTCGCAATGATCGGGCTTCTACTGACCAGGGTCAATGCAAACCCGGGTCAGTCAGACTCTGCAGGATCCTGCAAGATCTCGAAGGATCCTGATTTCCTGCGCGCTGACCCGGGTCAAAACAATCCTGGCTCTGCGGGATCCTGCAACATCCGGCGCTCCGGCTGGCCCCGACCAGTGACGGGGGGACAAACGTGCACCTTTCGTGCCCCTTTTGGGGCCCCAGGGGCTCTCTTTGGGGCCACTTCAGGGCACGAAAATGTAGCTTTCGTCACCGCCCCATCTTGCGATCCCTCGGACGCAAATTTCCCGTGCATTTCTCGGCTCCGTGCGTGACTTTCTCCGCGATGACCCAAATTGCTCTTCGATGGTCCTCGCCCCCAAAAAAGGTACAAAAACACACACACACACACACACACACACACACACGAGCGATGCCTAGCCATTTTATCGCGCCCCCGTGACCCGACGCCCGATC